CACTACATACATTTTTATTATTATGTATTGAGAATAAGTAAGAAAAGTCTTGCTGACTACTACCAAATAAATTATGAGCATGATATAATATAGACATTGTAATAATTTACATGTCTTCATTGCATTCTTTTCTCTGTATCTTTTCCAGTATGGCCTAAATCAATTGGAATGAGGTCTTCAATGTACAAGAGTTCAACAGCCTCCATAATGCAAGTTAAATAACTATTAAAAAAAAAAAAATGCCATAACGACTAGATACTTTTCTGCTGACCTCTTCTTTCTCTAGTATTGACTGGGAAGACAAGACTTTGCTTCCAGAATTAGAAGATCGGCCATTGTCATCTCCTGAGGAAGACTTTACACCCCACATTTGTCATGTAGGTTGTTGTGAATGCATATATGGGACGCAGTGATTATGATAATGATGTTGTGATGTGTGTGTCGTTCATCCCTACAGTTGTGTTGCTGCCCTGAGGTCCAAAATGAATATCGATAATGTTCCAGGAGTCAGTGTTGACAAAACTGTCGCTGAGTTTCTTCAACAATCAAGAGGAGTGAGATAATCACTCGACTCCCAAAACAGCCGATGTAAGTGTCTTTCTCTCACAGTCCAAATAAACATGTTCAAGGATCCTGTGGATCAGGGGCCACTCCTGGTGATCAATAAATACTGATGATGTTGATGATGAATATATCAAAGTCATATTTGAGTAGATAAAACTGATGTCTCTTCTATTATGTTTCAAAGGAAAATCTCTGCCAGAGCAAGACTCCAGTTCCTTCAACCTGGGCCCCTGAAGCGTGGCTGTGTGTGCGTGTGACTGTGTGTGCGTGTGACTGTGTGTGCGTGTGACTGTGTGTGCTTGTGGCTGTGTGTGCGTGTGACTGTGTGTGCGTGTGACTGTGTGTGCGTGTGACTGTGTGTGCGTGTGACTGTGTGTGCTTGTGGCTGTGTGTGCGTGTGACTGTGTGTGCGTGTGACTGTGTGTGCGTGTGACTGTGTGTGCGTGTGACTGTGTGTGCGTGTGACTGTGTGTGCGTGTGACTGTGTGTGCGTGTGTCTGTGTGCTTGTGGCTGTGTGTGCGTGTGACTGTGTGTGCTTGTGGCTGTGTGTGCGTGTGACTGTGTGTGCGTGTGACTGTGTGTGCGTGTGACTGTGTGTGCGTGTGACTGTGTGTGCGTGTGACTGTGTGTGCGTGTGACTGTGTGTGCGTGTGACTGTGTGTGCGTGTGACTGTGTGTGCTTGTGGCTGTGTGTGCGTATGACTGTGTGTGCGTGTGACTGTGTGTGCGTGTGACTGTGTGTGCGTGTGGCTGTGTGTGTGCGTGTGACTGGGTGTGTGCGTGTGACTGTGTGCGTGTGACTGTGTGTGCGTGTGGCTGTGTGTGCGTGTGACTGTGTGTGACTGTGTGTGCGTGTGACTGTGTGTGCGTGTGACTGTGTGTGCTTGTGACTGTGTGTGCGTGTGACTGTGTGTGCGTGTGACTGTGTGTGCGTGTGACTGTGTGTGCGTGTGTCTGTGTGCGTGTGACTGTGTGCGTGTGACTGTGTGTGCGTGTGACTGTGTGTGCGTGTGACTGTGTGTGCGTGTGACTGTGTGCGTGTGACTGTGTGTGCGTGTGACTGTGTGTCTGTGTGTGCTTGTGACTGTGTGTGCGTGTGACTGTGTGTGCTTGTGACTGTGTGTGCGTGTGACTGTGTGTGCTTGTGACTGTGTGTGCTTGTGACTGTGTGTGCGTGTGTCTGTGTGTGCTTGTGACTGTGTGTGCGTGTGACTGTGTGTGCGTGTGTCTGTGTGTGCTTGTGACTGTGTGTGCTTGTGACTGTGTGTGCTTGTGACTGTGTGTGCTTGTGACTGTGTGTGCTTGTGACTGTGTGTGCTTGTGACTGTGTGTGCTTGTGACTGTGTGTGCTTGTGACTGTGTGTGTGCTGTGTGTGCTGTGTGTGTGTGACTGTGTGTGCGTGTGTCTGTGTGTGCTTGTGACTGTCTGTGTGTGCTTGTGACTGTGTGTGCTTGTGACTGTGTGTGCGTGTGACTGTGTGTGCGTGTGACTGTGTGTGCTGTGCTGTGTGTGACTGTGACTGTGTGTGCTTGTGACTGTGTGTGCTTGTGACTGTGTGTGCTTGTGGCTGTGTGTGCTGTGACTGTGTGTGTGACTGTGTGTGCTTGTGACTGTGTGTGCTTGTGACTGTGTGTGCTTGTGGCTGTGTGTGCTTGTGGCTGTGTGTGCTTGTGGCTGTGTGTGCGTGTGACTGTGTGTGCGTGTGACTGTGTGTGCTTGTGACTGTGTGTGCTTGTGACTGTGTGTGCGTGTGACTGTGTGTGCGTGTGACTGTGTGTGCGTGTGACTGTGTGTGCGTGTGACTGTGTGTGCGTGTGACTGTGTGTGCGTGTGTCTGTGTGCGTGTGACTGTGTGTGCGTGTGACTGTGTGTGCTTGTGACTGTGTGTGCGTGTGACTGTGTGTGCGTGTGACTGTGTGCGTGTGACTGTGTGTGCGTGTGACTGTGTGTGCGTGTGTCTGTGTGTGTGTGACTGTGTGTGCTTGTGACTGTGTGTGCGTGTGACTGTGTGTGCGTGTGACTGTGTGTGCTTGTGACTGTGTGTGCTGTGACTGTGTGTGCGTGTGACTGTGTGTGCTTGTGACTGTGTGTGCTTGTGACTGTGTGTGCGTGTGACTGTGTGTGCGTGTCTGTGTGTGCTTGTGACTGTGTGTGCTTGTGACTGTGTGTGCTTGTGACTGTGTGTGCTTGTGACTGTGTGTGCTTGTGACTGTGTGTGCTTGTGACTGTGTGTGCTTGTGACTGTGTGTGCTTGTGACTGTGTGTGCTTGTGACTGTGTGTGCTTGTGACTGTGTGTGCTTGTGACTGTGTGTGCTTGTGGCTGTGTGTGACTGTGTGTGCGTGTGTCTGTGTGTGCTTGTGACTGTCTGTGTGTGCTTGTGACTGTCTGTGTGTGCTTGTGACTGTGTGTGCTTGTGACTGTGTGTGCGTGTGACTGTGTGTGCTTGTGACTGTGTGTGCTTGTGACTGTGTGTGCTTGTGACTGTGTGTGCTTGTGGCTGTGTGTGCTTGTGGCTGTGTGTGCTTGTGGCTGTGTGTGCTTGTGACTGTGTGTGACTGTGTGTGCTTGTGACTGTGTGTGCTTGTGGCTGTGTGTGCTTGTGGCTGTGTGTGCTTGTGGCTGTGTGTGCGTGGCTGCTTATGAATTATTTTGAGGAAATGTGTTCAAACAAGCTACAACATAAAGATTAACATTTTGTTAGATATCTCTGATAGTGTTCGCTGCAGCAGCGATGGATAAGGACCTGGATAATAAGTGTTATTCATTTGAGCAAAAAGTGATAACACAAACGTTGCCTTACCATCACTTGTAATTACTTGTCTTAGTAGGGACATTGTGTATATTTTTCCGGCTATAACTTCAAATCTTCTTTTACATAATAAAGTTTCTTAGACTCGTTACAGACTGTATTTGTTTTCCTACTATAAAACAAAGCACATTGAAAGAGGTGTATGTATTTTTTTTTATTTTGAAATAGTACAACTACAAACATATTTCAGAACTGCAGAGTGGACGTGCACCATGGGGGCCACTGAGGACGTGCACCATGGGGGCCGCTGAGGAAAGCACGTTTTCAATGTCTGTTGGCACCTTTCACAGACGCATCAGGTCAGGGAAAGGATCTGGTCATCAGCTTCTCTGGACAGAGGGCGTTCAGTGCTTCCTGAAAGAACCGTTATGACAAATGACTTTATATATTCTGTTACTTGTAGCTTTTCTTTCAAAGTGGTGAGTTTCCTTACAGTGTAATAGTGTAACGTAATTAGTTATGGCAGTACTTTTGCGTTTCGGACAAGCTTTACTGGAATTGTTTTTCAGTCCCACATCTCACTGTACAGCTCTGATACACTTTGATTTTGTCTTCATTCTCTGAACAATAAGCACATAATACAGATGTTGATTACATCAATAAATGTATCTTTATTTTGTGACATTGAGAAGGCAGCTTCCAGTGAGATGCAGCTTTACTTTCACATAATACATTACTACAGTGTTGTCTATAAAGAACTCCAAATATACAAATTGTGAGGAAATAAGTAGCAGTAATGTATTACTTTAAATAACCTTCATGTAAAGCTTTGTTATGTATATGCATTACATTCATCTAATACATATGCACTGTAACAGATTAACATCTGTGCATAATGTTGAGACACGTCACACTGCAATCTGCAACATTATGTTTATCACAACAGTTATCAGTGTACCAACTATAAAAGCAGTGTTATTCTATAAAAGACTGGATTGTTTTTATCTCTTTCTTAGTGATGCTATCCTAGCTAACACCAAGCTGCTTCCAGTGTTATAGCTAGGTTACAACTGAGCTATTCTATGCTAATATTTCACTCCCAGAGTTTGTTGTTAATATACTTACGAGTAGACCTGACGGAGATGAACGTGCTGCTGCCATCACCAAGACGATGCGCGTTCATGTGGTGTGACGTAGGGACGGGGGCGGGGCTACTAACTCGCTCAGGCAGAAGAAACTGCCGGAAACGACCAAATCGCTTACTGCTGCTTTAAGTGAAAAAATACACTTTATTTCAAGATAAATGGAATGGAGATGTGTAATGTAGCCATATATTAAGAATTGATACCAATAAAAAATAAATAAAAAAATAAAAAAGTTTTCTTATTTTATTTTATTTTTTTCAAAATCGATACTTGGCAAATGCATATCAATAATCAATCGCGGGAGAAAGTATCGCGATATATCGAAAAATCGATATATCACACTCCTACTGATGTGTCACAGGCAGGAAAATGAAAGTTGGATTGTAATAGTAATGATTTTATTTGACCACTAAGATAAGATAAGAGACTTTATTTATCTCACAATAGAGAAACTAAGAGTGCATATTACATACCGTCCGTTTGAAATTGCTTTTACTTTTGCACTTTACATTAATTCACTGATATGTTAAACTTTCACCTTGAGTGCATCCGTGAGCTCCTTGAGAATGGCACGTGTGAGTCTGTTCCCGTTCAGAGCGAGCGTCTCCAGCCGGGGCAGAGCGGCGAGCGTGGGCAGCAGCAGGAGGAAGGCTTCGTCCGTGAGCTCCGTGAATCCCAGCTCCACGTTCACCACGGAGGACGAGTGGCGCTGCAGATGAGCACACAGACGCTCTATGTCGCGTGCACACACCGGGATCCCAGACAGCTCCAGAGTGCCGTTGCTGGGAGGGGCGGACAGCACGGCCTTCAGGCTGCACCAACACACAGGAGACAGGGTTATAGTCTATTAGGATAGGCAGGGATTTCTCAATCAAATGTACACCAAAAGTCACCCCGTCCCCTCAAAAAGCAACAATAGACAGTTTGAAATAGATTCTGCTTGAGAGAGGGATCTGCTCCCACAGACGGACAAGCTGTAAATTCAGAACTTAGGGCTGTAGAACGAGGACCGAGGCCATGCGTTTCAGGACTGAGGCGGCTCCCAGGCGAGGAGGGGGTGCAGCCCTGGATAATATCTCTAAAATGTTCTCCAGTGTAGAAAAAAAAAAAAATCACATTTTCACTAATCTTTTGGGACCTAGACAATTAATCAATTATCAAAAGAATTGTTAATTACAGATCTATCACTATTTTTATTAACCTCATTAGTAAAATTGCATTTTGAGATGAACAATTTACAATAGTATTTTCCGACCAGAGATAATTTCTATGAAGTGTCCAGAACAACTAAATGTTCTAAGTACTCTTGGTAGGAAAAATAAGTGTAATTTAATTCTCATCTCTACAATGACAGAATACAAGTATTTTTTGTAATAATGTCTTTTGGAAATTATTTTGAAGATGAAAATTAGCTTATTGCTTAAGCTTAAGCTTATTAGCTTGTTGCTCATACTGTATGGTAAAATGAATATTCAAAAAGGAAAAAAAAAGCTTACTTTCCATGTCTACCTTAAACATGTTAAGATCCTTTGTGATGAGTTAAGGACAAAAGTCTTTTGTAGTGTTTTGATTAGTGTGTTAATATTTCCTTATTCTTCCTTTTTAAAAGGCTTGCCTCAAATTAGTTTTGGCTATGTTACAGCTGCTCATTTTCAGTTATACCACGCAATGTTTCATATAACCCTAGGAATTTTCCAACTTCATTCATTTGAAGTATTGCTTTCTGTATAATCTCAGTCCTATTGAGTCTATTATAATGAAAGGCAAAGTAAACAAACCTGGAAGTGTCAGAACTAAACTTGCCCAAAGCCACAAGCAGTCATGAAGGAAAAGAGAAGTACAGTCCACGCTTCATGCCTTTTGCTGCTTAAATCCAATAAATTACAGAGCTTGAGTCCAAGTCGATGCTGGACAGGACCTTGCAGCTCCCAATCATTACCAGCTTTAGTTAACCATCAGCACCTCCCCAACAGAAGACAGACAATCGATGCAAACTTCAAAACACAGACAAACATGCTCTTACTGGCACTACTTGCTAACTTGTAGTAAGGGTCGATGACAAATGTTGAGTCCAGGCACAACAATGAAGAAAATAGACCTTGCGTTTTATGCGTCAAATATATATTAAAAAGTTTAGAATGACTGTTTATACTGCAGGGAAAAGCATACAGCTCAGATATTTTAAAATGGATACCATGAGATAGTTTTCTCTTATTTTAAATGTTTATAAATATCTTGTTCCCTTTAGGTTACACTACAAGAAAAAACAAATGTACAGACAAGGGATCCATGAGTGGCACTGTGCAGGGAATTATTGTTATCATGTCCGCCATATTTTTATATCTAAAAACATACCAAATCAAATTAATAACAACTAAGATTATATATTTTTAGAGTTTAAAATGGGGACCCAGCTGGAGATGTCCTTTTATTAGAATGGTATGAAAATTATGTAAAACCACAAAAAGTTGAATTCAAGAATATTTTTTACTTACAGATACTACAGATTTAATACTACAGACTACGACAACCAAACAGCAGCACAGAACCACCCCTACTGCAGGTCAATGGAAACAACATATACTATTACTCACCATTCAAAACGCAATTACAAGCGACCTGGTCAATATTTGCACGTCAATGTTAAGGTACATGTTACAGGAGCAAAGCTACAATCTGGAGTGATGTGTTCATTAACATTTACTGTCTAAACCTAAACTTGGTAAACAACTGGATATACAAAAAAAAACACCCAAAAAAAAAACAAATGGTGATGACATTGGACAAGACTGTTTGAGTTTATGAAGATTTTTGATTACCACATGTATTGTCAGTTTATGTTTACTTGAGTCCCTGATGGTTTGATCGAGGTGTGAAGGCCACGCAAAGAAAATCCCTCTCTGAACCGTATAATGGATGTTTACAACACAGCTTGTCCTCACAAAAGAAAGACTCTTAAGAGAGACAGAGAGCGGACTAAAAATATGACCAGAACAACTTATAATGAGGACAGCCAGACAGGAAGTGTGTAGGAACCGCCTCAAGTCAGAACAACAGACTTTTTCAACTGGTTATAGGGACAAAAGACATGCATTCAAAAGTGATTAGCAACTAGTAACATAGGAGCTATCTGATGTATCATGCACTTACACGGCTCCTCGCAGCAGCAGTAGAACGCTCCATTGATTTGAATGTAATTTCAAAACGTTCTACCGGTCATTATTTCTTGATAACAAAACTCTCAAAACAATAATGACCGCTGCCCTTTGGCAACGCAACCTCTGCTTGTAATTCAGATGTGTAGATTACTCCGCAAGTATGTCCGGCCACTCCCGAGCTAGCCACGCTCAATAAACACAAATACCAGTCAATCAACATATTTAAATGTTAATCTGAGAATACATCATACACAAACATTCTTAACACACGTGCACAGAGGTTTTCAGAAGTATCTGTTCACGTTTTCATGACAAAAATACTGTTTTAATGCGAGAAAAAGCAATCACGAAAAACCCAGAAGTACATTCCGGGACATTTTAGGAACATTTGCAGAAGATCAAATTGGATTTAGATTAAGTTTATGTTTGGTTCACTCACCGCTGATGTTCAGAATTCTTTGTTCAGTTTTCATGCAGTTTGAGAGAGTTCTAGTTTGGAAGTTGCTAGCCTAACTGTTACTCGCATAGCCACGGGAAAGCCTTTGGGAACTATTTTCAGCAGACGCTTTGCCCAGGTCCTTATTTTCCGATAAGGACCTGCGTAATATACATTATCCCTTACATATGTAATAGAACTAAATCACCAAAACCACTAAACGTTTCATTTGTCCCTGCAGTTTACCACCTGGATTGATAAATAGACCCCAAAGTGTTTCAAAGCTTACTCATCCCTTGAGAATAGGTACATCACCACAGACCAATCTCCTGCTCAGAATGGGAAACTGTCTGGATGGGGAATCGAAGCGTCTCTGAAAATGCTTTTGAGATTTGCTCTGTGACAAATGAAGGATTTCACAGCTGTTTCACAACACTATTTACCATAACGCTACATTTTTAGGACTAATAATGCCATCACACATCTTCCTTACACTAATAATTAATTAATTAATTTTATGTTTACAAAATACACTTTGAAGCAACTGTGGTTCAAGTTCTAACTCATCATTCTAACAATATGCTCAAGGCAGTACTTTTCCATTGCTTGTTTTAGTATCTCAAGGTTGAAGCTTCTGGCGCTGTGGCAAAAGCTGATTGGAGGTCCCCATTCCTCCATGCTGAATAATATCACATGCATTCTGTAACGTCTTTGTTCGTGCCATCTCTACCATCGACAATAAAACATGTCTTCTGTCTGAATTAAAGACACAATCCCAATTTTAAACATATCGACGCGTGTGACAATTGGTGCTCCTATTGGACAGCGAGAGCTCAAGGAGAATATGCGGAAATGGAGGAAAATATCGAGATCGTACGTGCTTGCATGTCTGCGCTGCCTTCACTTTGACGCGGCATTGGTCAGGAGACCGCTCGTAGCCCCTCTCCTTCCTTTTCTCGCTAAACATGTTGAACCTGACCGCATTTTTGTGTGTCTTTTTCAGAAGTTGGGTTATATGTGCTCTGCCCAAATTTCAAGGAGGCACAGTGTCTCCTCGTTGCTCCAGGTCTGCCCACGGCTCATTGTTGTTGTGTAGCGTTAGCAGCTGTGACGCGTGGCTAATTCCTCAGTTTCTGTCTGCGGTGGCTTGTTAGGGCCAAAAAATGCGCACGTATCTTGGAGTTGTGTCGGATCGACACCGGTTGTATTCAGACCTGAATCGACTCGGACCAGAGTTCGTTTGGAAGCGGACCGAGACCACCTAAAAAAGTGGGTCTCGGTCCGGTTCTTTGGTCCGGACCAGGATTCGTTTGTGTGTATTCACACCTGCATAAAAGGTTCGGATCAGAGTTCCAAACGAACCCTGGTCCGTTTAAAGTGGACCAAAAGTGCAAGTCTGAATATACCCTTAGAGCAAAAGTGAGATTGACACGCACATCCAATTCTGAGCAGCGTGCTAGAGTTGAAAGTCGATGGATGAATGAAATGGAGAAGACTCTGCACAACTTTAGCTCCTAAGTGATTTTAATTATCACCACAAACTGAAAGAACAGCAGGCTACACACCTGTATATATACACACAGTAATGACAGGTCACATGACCTACTCAATAACCAAAACACACAAGAATAGAGATCAATGAGGTGTAGCCCCCCTGAAATGTGATGAAAATATACCACAGCATAGAAATCTACCACAGCAAAATAGATACAGCATATGTACACATATTAACAAATTTACACCTTTTGCAAAAACATTTTTTACAAATAATAACACTATTTACACTATATTTAGATAGAGACGGTACCACAATGAGGAGAGGCCAAGAGTTTGTATTTGGACCATTAAGGCTTAGTACGTACTGTAGTAGAGGCGCCTGTTTTGGACTCCCAGAAAGATCTAAAGCAACACATGAAGGATCATAGAAAAGGTCTCAGGTCAAAGTCTTCATTCAGACCCTTTGGGCTCATAGTGTCTAGTGTGTATATCCAGAAAGCTTCGCGTTTTAGTAGTGGGGAATTAATGTCTCCTCCTCGGTTTGAAAGTTTGATGTGTTCGATTCCTGTGTATCTTAATGTGCTCACATTGTGTTTTGCTTCTGTAAAGTGAACAGCCACTGGGCTTTTTGTGTCATAGTTGCGGATATTGCTCCGATGTTCAGAGATTCTGGTCTTTAAAGGTCTCGTTGTTTTTCCAATGTACGCTAGGCCGCAGGGGCATCTAAGCATGTAGATCACATTGTTCTTCTTGCAGCTTATGGTGCCTGTCATTACTGTGTGTATATACAGTAATGTAGCCTGCTGTTCTTTATGTCTGATGAAGGGTAGGGGACCCGAAACGTCACAACAGTTTGTGGTGATAATTAAAATCACTTGGGAGCTAAAGCTGTGCAGAGTCTTCTCCATTTCTGAATATACCCTTGGACAACCGCACTTCTCCTTACATATACCGTTTCTGTATAAACCTTTGCTAGCTAATTACTCCCCAAATGCCCCCAGTCATGCCCCAGTGTATTCCTATGGCTCTGCGTAGCCGTTTGGAAAAAAAATATAAACATTCCTTATCTCTCTCCCTGCCTCTCATTTGAAACTATAGGTCTATAGGACTGCTGAGGTATCAAACGCCACCAATTGCTGCTATTTCAGTCCAGCTATAATTCTGTATTCTGTTATGACTCATGCGTCGCCTCAGGACACGCTGCTCTTCTGTTTGGACTGAATGTATTGGACCATTGAACCAAAACAAACCCATTAAATTGACCCTGATGACCGCTATTTGTATCGTTTGTTGCTAATGACCTCCCATGGATCCTGATTTATATCACTTTGCACAATGATTACAAGTTGTTACAAAGTCGTTATGTCTTTCCCTTATTGCATCCAGGTATTTGCATTTTACCTCAGGGATTGTAATGGTTTCTTTCAATGAATTTCCAAGATAACTATATGCAAGAGTAGACTGAGGAATTGTGGTGTAAAGGTCCAATCAATAAGATGAATAATTGCTTAAACTACAGATAAGAAGATGTATTTTTAGAGCAGATTGAAAGTGCAGCTCAATTTGCTTGACAAAAGGGATGGCATTGCATTGAACTATTATAGAGTTGGAAACATATTAAAAAGTCTGATAAAAAGAAAGATTGGACAAATGAATTTTTAGTTTAGCTTAAATTAGCTCAATTTGATGTTGTGTAGATGGTTCCATTTATAAAGAGCATAATGGGAGAAAAGCTGCTTCTCCAAACAAACAAACGTTTACATTATTCTATCAACATTTTAATTTAATATTTGGCTAAAATATAATTGTTGTAGAGCTTTTTACTATATGATAGACATTTGATAAATTAAACACAGACTTTAGAATGGTGACATGGATCAAGGCAACAAGTGGAAGATAACATATAAACCATAAGAACTTTAGTATCACTTGAGCTAAAATGAGACAAACTGCAGGTCTTTATTGCTCTCTGTGGGCGTCTTGCAATCATCGAGTTGAGAAGACTAGTAATTGCATCCCTTAAAAAATAGTTTGGGATAAATTTCATTGTGCATTCTGCATTGGAGACAAAGAAGATTGCAAGAGAAAATGTGGACTTTTAAGGCCAGAAAATGAATCGCATACAGGAGTAAGGTTGTTCAGTGACCTGCATTTGTATAAATAAGGAACTGCTGTATTTTAACATTTTTAGACCAAGGATATTCTCTGGTGTAATGTCAACAGTGTCATTATGACTCGGCAGGAGTTGGTGATTCTTAAAATAATATTTAATCTAGGAGAAAACCAAAAAGTTGCACTCAATCAACAGAGACCACACTTCTGAGCACATAAACTGTAGAGGGTCCACAGAGGGATAACGGCCGCAGATATTAGGAAGTGTCTTTGAAAGACTTCATAAATATAGCCTTGGTCCAATAAGCTCTTTAGTCCTTGATCACAGATCTGACAGCGCTTTACTTTTCTGGCACTGCAGGTCAGAGAACGACTATAGGAGCAGTTTGGTAACAACGATACTGCTTCTGTCTGCAGGGGCCTACGGGAGATCACCAACTACAAGCCCAAAGCCCCCCTCTGTGCTGACGACCACGAGCTAGCTGACGAACTGAACTTTTTTTTCAGTCGCTTTGATGCTGCCCCTGACACCTCCCCCACCCCCCACTAATCTAACGACCCACCCATCAGCCCTGCCCCCACCCTGACAATAGCCTCTAAAGATATTAAACAACTCTTCTCGAGGCTACACCCCGAAAAGCTCCTGGCCCGGACCACGTGTCTCTGGCCACTCTGAGACACTGCGCCAGTGAGCTTACTCCTGTGTTCACTGACATTTTCAACTCCTCTCTGCAGTCCTGTCATGTCCCGGCCTGCTTCAAATCCTCCATCATTGAAGAAGAAGAAGGTCCTTTATTCGTCCCACAATGGGGAAATTTCAGTTTGACGCATACACATATAGTACATACATATATACACATACACATCAAGGCATGCAGCAAACATCATATCCGCGCTCCTTATAGGCTAAGTGGGTTAAGTGTCTTGCCCAAGGACACAACAACATCAGGCATCAGTGGGAGTCGGTGAAGAAGGTCCCGTGGTGCGCTCGAACCCATGACCTTTGGGCCCAAAGGCCAATGCTCTACCAACTGAGCTACTGTCGCCCCGCTGTTGTCCCGGTCCCGAAGAAGCCCAGGATCACAGGACTCAATGACTACAGACCTGTAGCACTTACGTCTGTCGTCATGAAGTCATTTGAGCGCCTGGTCCTCTCCCATCTCAAGTCCCTCACCTCCCCCCTCCTGGACCCCCTGCAGTTCGCCTACAGAGCCAACAGATCTGTAGACGACGCCATCAATTTGGCCCTCCACCACATCCTACAGCACCTAGACTCCCCGGGGACCTACGCCAGGGTCCTGTTCGTGGACTTCAGCTCTGCCTTCAACACAATCCTGCCATCCCTGCTCCAGGACAAGCTCTCCCAGCTCAACGTGCCCGATTCCACCTGCAGGTGGATCACTGACTTCCTGATGGACAGGAAGCAGCGAGTGCGTCTGGGGAAGAATGTCTCGGACTCTCGGATTATAAATACAGGAGCCCCACAGGGCTGTGTTCTTTCTCCCCTGCTCTTCTCCCTGTACACCAACCACTGCACCTCCAGCCACGACTCCGTGAAGCTGATCAAGTTCGCGGATGACACCACCCTCATTGGACTCATCTCCAACAACGATGAGTCCGCCTACAGGAGGGAGGTGGACCGGCTGGTGTCCTGGTGCAGTGATAACAACCTGGAGCTGAACGCCCAGAAGACAGTGGAGATGATTGTGGACTTCAGGAAGAGCACTGTCCCCCCGCCCCCACCCTCCGTGATGGACTCCCCCATCACCTCTGTGGAGTCCTTCCGTTTCTTGGGCACCACCATCACCCAGGACCTCAAGTGGGAGCCGACCATCAGCTCCCTCATCAAGAAGGCCCAGCAGAGGATGTACGTCCTGCGGCAGCTCAGGAAAGCCAAGCTGCCTGCACAGATGTTGGTGCAGTTCTACACGGCAGAAGACTGCGGTCCATCAGGACTAGAACCTCCCGCCACAAGAACAGTTTCTTCCCCTCTGCTGTTGGACTCTTGAACACTTCTTAACCTGTCCCCCCGCCCTTTATAAAGTCACTTTACTGCCCATCATACGTCACTTTACTTCACTGTACTGCTGTTGTAATAGCCCTGAAAAGGGGATAAAATAAAAATAAGACCAGGACACGTCTTTCCTCAAGCCTTGCTGGTTTATGAATGAGAAAAACAATCTTTCTTACATTTGAACACATTTAAATTAACATTCAACGATTTCCACTGTTCCCGCGCTAGCAACGAGAAGCTAATGCTAATTTGGTTAGCAACTAGCGGAGCTCCTTGAAACAACAGCCTACTAGACTAAATTATCACACTGGATTCGGTTCACAGCTACATTGACTCAATATAAAACAATAATGACTGGTTTATGACATTCTGCATACCATACCATACCTGAAAAGGGGATAAAATAAAAATAAGACCAGGACACGTCTTTCCTCAAGCCTTGCTGGTTTATGAATGAGGAAAGACGTAGCCTAGGTGAAGCTCAAGAGCGTCTCCCCCTGCTGGACACTCCACGTAACTGCATTAACAACTAAAATCATCTGGTTACACACTCCCCCACAAAAATAAATGTTGTCCGCAACATTTCCGTAAGTAGTACTCCAAGTCACAGGTACAAACACAAAACACATAGAACCTGCAAAAGCATGAAACAACTGGTTGCATCCTAAAATTACCAGTGAGTAACAATAACAAAACATTAACCTTAGTACCAAAACAATTGTCCAATTTGAATTTGGTTCAAATCAAATCCCACAAAAGTAAAGAGTTTGTGTTGCTATTACGAGAAAATTGGCACATGCCATGCAGGAGGCCCATAAGGTGTAACTGCATCAACATAATAGCATGACGGAGTCCCGAGTGAGTCATATCTGAACATTCTTGGCGCCCTACGTCTTCTTTGTGGGCGTGGAGCTTCTCGCTGCAGCTCTTCTTCCTGCGCACTCCCAATCGAAGACCCCTCCACATCGTCTGCATCCTTTTCCGGCACATCCACACTTCCAGCGGCGTCCTCAAGCCGAAGCAGGACAGGTTCTGATGGTTGATTAATGTTAGGCTCACAGTCATTTTCTGTCATATCCGGCTGTCCTTGTACAGTTGACACTGGGAAATAGTACTCGTCTTCTTCATCCTCCGAATCTTGTGTTGAAGTTTTCTCCACAATTTTGTCCTTTTTTGGTTTCACGGGTGAAGGAGTTTTTATTTCCGGTGGCAAGTGATCACAGGGCAAAAGTAGATTCCGGTGAAGTACCCTAGTTTTGCCTTTTCCGTGCTCTGGACTGAGCTCATACACTGGGATATCCTTTCCTACTTGTCTGACTACAATGTGGACGTGATCTTCCCAGTGATTTCTCAATTTTCCCGAGCCACCGCGAGGTGTCATATTGCGCAGCAGCACTCGATCACCTGGACACAACAGAGAGCTTCTCACTTTTGCATCAAACGTCTTTTTGTTTCTTTGAGCAGCTTTTTGTGCATTTTCCTTTGCAATGTTATATGCCTCCTGCATTCCCTTGCGCCATTCGTCCACATATTCAAGTTGACTACCCCTTCCCGCCTCGACAGGTAAGTCAAACAACATGTCAATGGGTAATCTTGGTGAACGACCATACAATAAGTAGAAGGGAGAAAACCCAGTTACTTCTGTTTTGGTGCAGTTATAAGCAAAGATCAACTTATTTAAGGAGTCTTTCCAGTTTAGTTTGTCTTTGTCTGTGAGAGTTTTTAGCATCTGCAACAATGTTCTGTTAAAGCGTTCTACTTGACCATTACCCTGCGGGTGGTATGGAGTAGTCCTTGATCCAGTAACACTACAATACTTGCTTAACTGAGAGAACAGATTGTTTTCAAATTCACCACCCTGATCGTGATGAATGCGTGATGGGAATCCAAATTTTAGTGCATAGTCATTGAAGATTTTATCAGCTACAGTTTTGCCGGATTTTGAGGTGGTGGGGTACGCCTGTGCAAATCTGGTGAAATGATCAACTATGACCAATATGTACTCGTACCCACCTCTACACTTGTCGAGATGGAGAAAGTCCACTGACACCAATTCGAATGGCTGAGTTGTCACAATGTTCACGAGTGGCGCCCTAGATTCCCTGCTGGGCTTTTTCTGTTTAAGACAAGCACAACTCATTACATATAGCTCTATGTCCCGTTGCATGTGCGGCCAGAAAAAGCGGTCTCTCACAAGTGACACAGTCCTGTCCGTACCCTGGTGCCCCATGTTGTTATGTAGTTCCTGCAATACAGTCATTTTGTGTTCTTCAGGCAGCACCAACTGTTTCCTGTGGGCTGTTTCTCTCCACAAGACTCCATTTTTATCCAGATGTAACCTGTCCCATTCGCGTAGAAGGACTCGGCTCTGTGCACTACAGTCTTTCATTTGTTGATTCGTGGGTTTCTTTTTGGACAATTTAAATGTCAATACTCGTCCTATATTTGGGTCAGTAGATTGATCATTTTTCAGCTGTGCAGGTGTTAGTGAGACAATAGGGATACTTTTACAGTCCAAAACGTGGTTAACACTAATACCCATTGACCAAGATGCAGTGGATTCGGGCATCTCCACAGCTTGAACTGTAGTACCAACAGCATCATAAGACATTTCCTCAGTACACTGTTTCATAAGTTCTTCAGCATCTATTGGCATCCTTGACAATCTATCAGCATCAATGTTTTCTTTGCCGGGCCTGTACTTAATAGTGAAATTAAAGTCTGCTAATTCCGCAACCCATCTACTCCCTGTGGCGTTAAGTTTTGCACTGGATAACACATATGTCAAGGGATTATTATCACTGTAAACTGTGAAGAAAGGGGCATAGTACAAATAATCCCTAAACTTTTCTGTGATGGCCCATTTAAGGGCTAGGAATTCTAATTTCCCAGAGTGCAGATGGTAGTTTTTTTCTGAAGTTGATAATGTTCGAGAGCCGTAGGCAATGACTCGAAGGTTTTCATTTTGTTTTTGATACAAAACCGCTCCTAACCCTTTGTTGGACGCGTCGGTATGGAGGATGTAGGGCTGTGAATAGTCCGGATACGCAAGGACAGGTGGGTGTACTAAGCAATCAATAAGTGTTTCAAGAACGATTTGGTGAGCATCAGTCCAGTCTATCTGAGTGTTAGACGGCACTATATCTGCCCTTTTCTTGTTATATTTCATGGTCTGTGTCTTTGTTTTTGCCCGAGTTCTTTCTGCCGGGTGTTTGATGAGCTCATACAGGGGACTGGCTATTTGAGAAAAGTTTTTAATGTACTGTCGGTAGTAGCTCAACAGTCCCATTACCTTTCTTAGTTCCCCCACCGTCTTTGGTTTTCTGTCCTTCAGTACTGTTACTGCAGCAATGTCAGAGGGATCTATCTTGTTTCCCTCAGCCGAGACTATTCTTCCAAGGTAACGGATCTCGGGTTTAAAAAGCTCACACTTACTGGGCTTTAACTTTATCCCATGTTTTCTAAGTCTCTGCAGAACGGTTCTTACATCTCCAACATGGTCCTCAAATGTCTTACTAAATACTATTGTATCGTCCAAATAAGGGACACAAATCTTGTCTCGAATGTCTTCTAAACACTCCTCCATACATCGCTGAAAGGCCGCAGGGGCATTCATGAGCCCAAAAGGTATCCTAGTCCACTCGTATAAACCCCATGGTGTCACAAAAGCTGTCAAATGTCTGCTGTCTTTCGCCATAAACCCTTGGTGATAAGCTTTTCCTTGGTCAAGTAGTGAAAACACTTGATTACCACCAAGACCATCCAGAATGTCTTGGATTCTGGGAATCGGCTGTCTGTCCGGGTGAGTCTTTAAATTAAGCTCCCTATAATCTATACATAGCCTAAGTGAGCCATCTTTTTTTCTTACACACACAATGGGTGAGGCATAAGAGGAATGTGACCGCTCTATCCATCCTTGTGCAATCAGATCGGTCAGATAGTTCTTCATTTCTTCATACAGTGGTTTGGGGACAGACATATAGGTTCGTGCAACAGGTTCTGAGTCTTTGAGTGATATTTTTAACTGTAGGTTCTCAATGCATCCTATATCACTATCTGATTTTGAAAATGATCTGGACTCTTCCCTGAGCATCTCACTGACAATCTGTCTCTGTTTTTCGTTGAGGTGGCTAAGGTCAACTGGCGGGTCCCACAATTCTGTTTTTGTCTCTCCCCCACCTACATGTTGAGCCTCAATATTATTTATTTGAGCAACTGTCTCTTTTTCATTGGTAGTACTAACTGGGTTTACAGAAGTAACTGTCTGCGCCGTACCTATATTAGTTTTACCAGTCAGCAATATGTCATGATCAGTGGGATTTTGTACACTGAGTATAATGTTTGGATGTGGCCCCTTTTTTACTATAACCAATGTATCATAGAACTGCAGCCCTTCAGGCCAGTGAGGATTATCATCTGGCTCAAAAACAAGTGTGGTGTCCTCTTTAAAGGGTTTGGTCCACACTCTACATTTAACTTGGACTGCAGTACGCCGAGGGATCAGCACTTTTTGGCCTGCTGTTTTAACAAGGTACTCACTTATCCTGTTCACACTGACTGCTTGAATAAATGTTCTTACAGTCTTATGCTTTAAGTTCGGGAAAGCTGTCTTTACAGTATTTATTAACCTGTCTTTGTCACTCTGAATTTCTTGTCCACTGATAACTATCCGCTCAATTACATTAAAGCCTATTATTGGGCGGAGCTGCTGGTTACCTTTTATGACTAACATAGGCACAAGAAACTCCTCACTCCCAGAAGCTAACTGAAACTTGACTTCAATCCATCCACATAAGGCATTTCAGTACCATTGGCCGCTTCAATTTGTAAAGGATCATTTGGATCGACTAGTTCTGTTATGTGTCTCAACTCTATGCCGGGCAGGTATGTGGTTTTCCATCCCCTCATCTACAGCAGATATTTGTGACCCCGTATCCAAAGGCCTGAGTTGTGATGCCCTGCAGACTGCAGTTAATTAGACACTTCTTTCCCACAAGTTCAGTTACTGTTGGATGTTTTCTCTGTCAAAATATTTTGTTTGTTTGTTCCCGCGCCATAGGAATGTGTTGTTGTTTTTACTAGTTTAGTAGGTGCAAATGGTTTACAGTTTTCCCTATGCTCAGGCCAGTGGCTAATCTGGCACTTACTAGAACAGTAAAGCACTACTTTGCACACTGAGCATTGCTGAAGGTTTTGATATGTTCCCTCTGTCCTACAAGTAATGCATGTTTGGGACTGTGCTGACACGCTGGTTACTCCCTGTCCCTTGGGGGTAACCGCTCTCCGTTTAAATACTGGCCACGCATGTTGTTGGATGGCATATACCCCCTGCATCCTGCTCGGAAGTGCTCACTGCCCCGCACCGAAAGCAATGCTGGCAGAATTCTTCTCCCCGCTCACGGCAGCTGGAACACCTTGGTCGAGGGCGTGGCGCTGGAAACCGCTGCGGTGCATAGCCCTGCTGGAACTGGGACGTACCCGCTTGATCCACGGACGGTGGGTGGGGTGGTACCTCGGCTCCGGGTCTTCAGGTGGGCGGCGGTCAGCCGATGCATACTCATGCCCCAAGATCTGTACTGTGGCTGATGATGGGGCGGTGGAGAACTACTTGATCTTCGCTCCCATACGGATGGGGTGTATTCTCAGTTTTTTTGATTGATTCTCTAATTTGCGTCACTTCCGCCTTCAGGTCTTTTAAGAGTACAATGTCTGCTTTTATTTCTTTTAGATCAGACAGTACCTCCGGATGTAGTGTGGCAGCACTTGGTCTAGTTGTGTACTTCTTGCCTTCATCAGTGGAGTCACATGACTGGACCGCGTGCACCGTGGTTTGGCGTGATAAAGTCTGTCTCTTCTTGTCTTGCCTTTCTTTCTCATTGCCACAAGCAATGTTGACACGTTCCAGGAGCAGTTCATCAGCAGTAGATGTTTGCATCAAATACGGCTGGAGATCTGTCTTGATATTATCGTTTTGCAATCCAGTAAGAACTGTATGCATGAACAGGCTCTGTACTAATGCAGGATCATACTTAAGGCCAGACTCAGCTTCCTGTGATGCAAATAGTATTTTCTGTCTCAAATCCATCGTCCTAAATGATAAAATTTTGTGGAGTCTCTTTACAGTTTTGCACTTCTGCTGCGAGCTGCTTATATAACTCTGTTGCACTTCGTTCTTGATAGTGTGAGCGCAGAATTCTCCGGAGTGTTGGCAGAGTCAAGTCATTTTTACCCTCCAAGTAGCTCCGCAGCTGAAGGCCGGGGACGACAGCTCTAACCACAGCATCAACTATTTCTAATTCAGGGTAACCTTTAGTGAGACTACTCTCAATTTGGCGGGCGAGGCTGGAGAAGGTAAGCCTGTCTTTTTGCCCAGGTTCACCAATTTGCCCTGAGATTTTTAAATCTTTTCGCCACTGCACAGGGTTTGCATTAGCGTGGCGTAAACTGACCCATGAACACTATTCACTGTCATGTCCAATGGATTTGTCTTTACATTTCCTTTTACTTCAGCTTCCTTTTGCTGTACCATCAATTTTAAATGTTCTATTTCTCTCATTAACTTGTCTTGGTCTTCAGCCTCTTTGATTGTCGTTTCAGGTTCTTCTGCTGGCTGTTGCAGTGTCTTTATTGTGTCCATTAAACTCAACATCTCCGACATACCTTCATCTTCCAGGTGCGCAGTTCATCTCGCTTTCCGACCGCCAGACCCTTAGACGATATTTCAGACCTCACAGGAGCCCGCGTTTCTCTTACTACTGGCTGTTTTTTATTTTTTATTTTAGTAGAAAAAGAGATGATCGCAGTGGTATGGCGTCCTCTGTCACAGGTGGACCAGCCCACACATTCTCCCAGCCGGTGCCTCCAAATGTAATAGCCCTGAAAAGGGGATAAAAAAAATAAACTCAGACAAACGTCTTTCCTCAAGCCTTGCTGTTTATGAATGAGAAAGACACGAGCCTAAGGTGAAGCTCAAGAGCGTCTCCCCCTGCGGGACAACTCCACGTAACGGGCATTAACATCTAAAATCATCTTGTTACACTGTCACCTTACATTTGAGTGCACCATGTGCACTTGTATATTGTAAATTGAAACTGTAACTCTATTGAAATGCAAATGATCCTTAGAAGTGTATTTTTATTCTTTATTGTTTATTTCTCTTCTGCGGTTGCACTGAGCCAAAGCAATGTCCATGTAGGATTCTGATTCTGATGTTGTCTTAATTAGGTGAAAAAGGCACAAGAGAAGCTCATGTTGGATCTATTTTCAACCTGGCGACAGTGAAAACCCAGAAGATTTTGTTTGCTGTTGCTCATGAGATGAACACAGGGAACAGACCACTAACGAATTTGTCTGAACAAAGAAATTGTTTGCAGCAAACAGCAACAAATGAGCGAATCCATAAAAACATCTAATGTGTTCACACTGTGACACAGACACTTGGGGAATTGGATCATTACATCAGTGGCCCAAGTCTAAACCCCATTTGATCTCAAACTTCACCAGTTATGTTTTCCAGTTCAGAGTACGAAATACATGTACCTGTTGTCTTTGTCGAAAGAGACTGTAAAACAAAGAGTTATATTATTATTCTTTAGAGTTTGTGTGAACTAATAAGGAATATTAGTTTCATATCACCCTCACCAAAGCTACTCAGGTGAAAGAGCGACAACCACCTCTGCAAAAGAATCCTCTGATCACAGCCTATCATTCATTCATTCTTTCATTCAATTCATTTTACACCAGGGCTTGACCGTAGCTCAGTTGGTAGGCATTGGTCTGTGAATGTCCGTGGTTCGAGCCCCCCACAAGACGTTCTCCATCGACTCCCTCTGTTGCTGTCCGTTGTGTCAGTGGCTAAGACACTTAACCTCTGGAACACCAGATGCCACAGTGGGGACTAGAACCTCCCGCCACAAGAACAGTTTCTTCCCCTCTGCTGTTGGACTCTTGAACACTTCTTAACCTGTCCCCCCGCCCTTTATAAAGTCACTTTACTGCCCATCATACGTCACTTTACTTCACTGTACTGCTGTCACCTTACATTGTGTGCACCATGTGCACTTGTATATTGTAAATAGAAACTGTAACTCTATTTTAAATTCAAATGTATTCCTTAGAAGTGTATTTTATTCTTTATTTTTTATTATCTCTTTCTGACTGTTGCACTGAGCCAAAGCAATTTCCAAGTATGATTCTGATTCTGATGTTGTGCTTAATTATGTTTAAAAGAGGCACAAGAGAAGCTCATGTTGGATCAGTTTTCACCAGGCGACAGTGAAAACCCAGAAGATTTGTTTAGCTGTTTGCTCATGAGATGAACAGCAGGGAACAGACCACTAACGAATTTGTCTGAACAAAGAAAATAGTTTGCAGCAAACAGCAACAAATGAGGCAGAAACCATAAAAACATCTAATGTGTTCACACTGTGACACAGACACTTGGGGAATTGGATCATTACATCAGTGGCTCCAAGTCTTAACCCCATTTGATCACAACTTCACCAAGTTTATGTTTCCAGTTCAGAGTACAAATACATGTACCTGGTTGTCTTTGTCGAAAGAGAACTGTAAAACAAGAGAGTTATTATTATTATTCTTAGAGTTTGTGTGAACTAATAAGGAATATTAGTTCATATCACCCACACCAAAGCTACTCGAGGTGAAAGAGCGACAACCACTCTGCAAAAGAATCCTCTGATCACAGCCTATCATTCATTCATTCATTCATTCATTCATTTACACAGGGCTGACCGTAGCTCAGTTGGTAGAGCATTGGTCTGTGAGGTCGTGGGTTCGAGCCCACCACAAGACTTTCTCCATCGACTCCCTCTGTCTGCTGTCGTTGTGTCATTGGCAAGACACTTAACCTCTGGGAACACCAGATGCCACAGTGGGGCGGCTGCGGCTGTAAAGTGCCAAACTGCTGTTGTGTCCTTAGGCAAGACACTTCACCCCCATTGCCTAGAATGAGTTTGATGTGTGTGTGAATGGTTGGTGGTGGTCGGCGGGGCCGATGGCGCATACTGGTTTCCAGTCAGTGTGCCCCAGGGCAGCTGTGGCTACAGTGGTAGTTTATCACCACCGTATACGGAGCGTCTTTGAGTGTCCAAAAAAGCGCTATATAAAACCGATGCATTATTATTATTATTGCATCATGGTTGGTGAAGTGTCTTGCCTAAGAACTGTGCAGAAATTTTACTGGTGAATCTAAGCATCACAACTATAGACATAGAATTATCCAGTAAATTAAAATAACAAGAACTTTGCTATGTGAGTTGCTATGTTTTTTAATTGTCATTGAGGCCAGGAAGTGACGATGACTTAACTTGCAAGATGCCCAAAGACATAAAAATGACTTTCTAGCCATATAACCCATAATCTAATAGCCTCTGCCGTCCCATCATCCTTCATTCCCTCTCCACTCTCTCATCCCATACAAACCATTACCAGAGCTTGCGTTTATCTCCTCAAATGTCTTTCCCAGGCTGTGTGCTCATTCTGGTCCCTCGAGACCCGCAATGTAAGACTTTCAAAGCAATAAACAGCATGAAGGCAAAAAGATAAGTGCAAAAGAGCGGCATGGGTTTCAGATTACATCAGATTATTTTCTAAAGTTTAGACCAATAATATTTAATACAGATGGGGATCTTACAAAATAATGCTTAAAACTATAGTATCTTGCTTTCAAACCACAAATATTTTAACTATGTATTGACAACCATGTGACTAGATCATGGCTCTTAGGACAATTTGGTTCTATCACAAGTTTTTTGTTGTTGATTTTAGCCCATCTTTAGATTTTTCAGACAGAAAAGTTCAAAAGAGAGGACCGTCCTGACTCACCCAATCAGCTCTCAGCCCAGAGTCAAATTGTGACTCACAGGGCTCTTTGTTACAAGCATAGAAAAGATAACATGTTTTTCATTTCCAATAAGACGAAGAAAGAATGTTGTGATTGGTTTTATTCACAAATGTTTACCAGACTCTTTTGGTTGGGACAAATAACATGTAATTTTAATGAGGGGAGAAAAGTTAGGTACCCCAGCTTTAAAGGCACTATACCCGTTTCTGCAAGGTTTGAATGTTTAGCACCGCCCCCCAACTCGCTCACAGGCTTCTCATTTCCCCTACGCTCTCATAACACAGAGCCATCTAGCTCAATTTGCGATCTGATATGTATGCTAACACTAGCATTTGCGCAACTTCTTGTAAGCTGTACAACAATCACTGATGAAATGGTACTAAAGCAACGCACTCCTAACACCCCGCTAGTTTCGCATCCGAATGTATTCATTTAAACATTAGAATATATTCTAATACTTAATTATACTTAATTATACAGCTCCTCACAGCAGCAGTAGAACACTCCATTGACTTGAATGCAATTCTATCAATAATTTTTTCTTGATAACAGAACTCTCAAACCAATAATGACCGCTGCCCTTTGGCAATGCAATCTCTGTTTGTAATTCAGGTGTGTAAAATACTAACATTACTCTGCAAGTACAACGAGAGGAGCTAGCCACGCCATTTAATGGTGTCAATCGACATAAGTGCAGCTCTGCATTCTACAGGATCAGAGTTGA